AGAAGGCGTCCGATGTTGGCAGCCGGTGGCGGGGCACGGAGCTGGCAGATCGGGATTGCAGGGGGCGACCGGAAAGGTGGAGGCGGTGGCGGTGGTGATAGTGACGGTGGTAGTGGTGGAGGAAGCCACGGTCGCTCTAGCAGAAGGGTTGGCGCAGGTTCCGAGTTTCGACAGATTGCCGTGGGGACAAATAAGAGTGTATCCAGTCGCCGAACGCGACGAGGCGAATTTCGGGTAAATTGTTTCCCTCGCCCAACCTCATTCCCTCTCTCTCTCCCTCTCTCTTTCTCTCTTTCTCGCTCTCGAACTTCCACCCGCTCCTCTCGGTCCACCTAGTCGCACTACCTCTTTGGCGAGCGATCGCCTGGAGAAGAGACTCTCGGTGTCGCCAAATCGTCGATTGAAATTTAGGGTGCTTGGCCGCGTGGGACGGTACACCCTCGTTTCCCTTCTCCACGATGCCCTTCTCCTTTTCGTCCTACGTCCTTCCGTCCGCCTCCCTCGGGAGCAGAGATTTCGAATCGTCGCGCTATGACCCGACCGCAAAGTTCATACGCTTTACATTTCATTGTCTTACCTTGATGTATCGGTAGCTTCAATCGTCGCAAAAATTCTCACTAAACAGTGAAGACGATTACGTCGTATCGCGGAAATGAGGGGGACTCTCTCTCGCGCGCGCGCGCGAGGGGAATTCGTTAAGTAATGTTAATTTTATGTGGATCAGATAATTCTCATCACAGCTGGACGATATTGCGTGAAGAGAGAGAGAGAGAAAATCTCATGTAATATTTTACTGTCACGAAGGTCAATTAAAAAATGGGATAATTATTACATATGGTATTTCTCTTTTTGTCAAACTCTGGAATAAACTGAGGAACAAGTCCCGAAACAAGGTCTCGAGTCACTCGCACTTCCGCGATAATGCGCCCGCGCACTTTTCTTGCGAGCACACGAGCGTTTAATAAAAAGCAAATTGGGTATCGGAGGGGGTAAAAGTCAGAGAGCTCGCGGGCGCGTTTAACGTGGGATGCGAGAGCGCGGCAACTTTGAGAAATTCTTTACATAATTAATGAGCGGAACGTGTCGCGGGTGCGTGCACGGATTTACCTCGTCCTCGTTCCCATTGGATTCGCGGGAAAGGGGGTGGGGAAGGGGGTCAGAGGCAAGGGACGGTGGACGGGGCGCCGACTTGGGGACGCCGAGTGCTTTCGCGCGTTGCTACCCCTCGCGGCGAACCAATTAGCATCGTTTCACGTACAGCGCGACGTAAGTGGTCATCCAGTCTCCGTGAAACGTGTCGACCAAAGAGAGCGGGGCAGCTGCGCGCCGCAGGAAAAGTCCCGATTAATAATAAATGCGCGAGTACGATAAACTTTTGGCGCATTATTTACCGCCTGCTCTCCGGGCCCCTTCCGCCCGTCAAACGGCCGTTCGCACGCTGCACGCAAGGACCAATTACTCCGTCTGCGAGGAAAATACCCGGCAATCTCGTCAGGTAGATGGGCTGTCGGGATGTTCCAAATTTTTTATGAATATCTCATGACGGTATTACACGGAGTTCCAATAATGTCCTCCGATGAAGCTCTGCAAATCAAAGCTCGATTCATTATCAAATGTAACCTAGCTTGTAGTCTGTATCCATTTTGGTGGAGTCAGACCGGAGCTTGTTTGTTGACAAGCATTTTGTCGACAAGAAAACGGTCCGTTCCAGGCGCGCCTCGACTTCCACCAAAGTGGATACAAAGCGGGCCAGGTTATATTTGATAATGAATCGCGAGCCGGACGGGTGAACCATCGCACCCTTGATTTGCAGGGCTCTCATTTCCTGCTAGGATATTTTGGTCCGTGCGCATCGCATCTACATATTTTCGTACTATGACAGCTTGGAAACGATCGGCAACTCAGTCACATTAAATGCGACAGCAATGATGCATATATGCATTCAGCGTGCATGTTACCATTTTGCATTTAACATGCTGCCAAGTTTGCTGGTTCTTTCTAAAATCAACAGACATGATACAAAAATATGTAAATACAATGAGCCGGACAGACCCTAGACGAAAATGGAAGGCATTATCGGAATCTTACGTATTACCGCAATCGGAAGAAATATCGTAAAACACAATTATCTCGCGGCCAGACGATTAATCACATGTTGACTGCCATTCGTGCTGATTTTCATTGGTTACTTCAATACTCGACTAAAATTGAAATCACTACATTTAACTCTAAAATCCGAAACATGAATAAAATTTATCCCAACTTTTCAAACGTTACCGTTCTTAAAAACGTATTTTGTTTTTTTATTATAATTTTTTTCAACTTCATTGAAACAGAGATAGATATATAATAGATATAAAAACAGAGATAGATATATAATAGATATAATAGATTCATATTTCTACACCAAATAGAAAACAGGATTGAATTTTGATTATTTCCCCGGAAGTCACCAAAAATACGTTAAATAAATGCAACTTACGATGCAAATCACGACACGTGTATTCGTCAGCTCATTTCATTGGCTCTTTATTGATGATATATTTCATTTGTCAATTGCATGCAATTGGGAAAGAGTTATGTCTTAAATGTAAATTACAGAGACACATTAATATTATGATGTCAGTTGCGACATGTTAAAAAGAATTCTTTAGGATTATGGGAATTAAGAGAATTCTCGACACACACAAGAAATCACTGCAAATCCAAGTGTGTGAATTTCTTTTTTCACGTTTCTGGTCCTCTTTAGTCTCGTCATTGGACACGTTTAAAGCTTAATCTGCAATATGCTTTTTGCTTGCTGTTTCTATTCTCTGTCTTTCCTGGCTTAAGGTTGGGGTCAGACAAAGATAAAGAAAAAGAAACAGGAAACAAAGAATACATTGTGGATTAATTTTGAACGTCTTAAATTATACTTTGCACGCCTCTTTCAAACGTGTTAAACGACGTGATGTAAAATCACAAAAAAGAGTTGCGGTCACATTGTACGCTTGAAAATAATACACTTGGATCTGTCAGTAGTGATCACCTTGGGCAATTTGTCTCGCTGTGGAGAACCCTTCACACAGTGACCACCGTTGATTCCGTTCTTTCGATCTTCGATCGATCGAACCGAGCCAATATGTATTACGTCGGCCGTGCTATCCACGTAAGCACGCAAGCACACACGCACGCACGCACTCACGCACGCACACACGGCCGCTCGTACGTACGCTTTCCTGCCTATTGAAAAGCACATCGCCCATCGTGTGTTCCCATGCACGGTTCTACGAGCTTCGCCGCGTGCGTAACGCGCCGAGGAGAGGCGAGGCGTGGCGAGGGAGAGAGCGAAGCCATGATATCCTTTAAAATCTAAATCCGAGCAAGAGGGTTCGCTATCGATCCCATCGCAAAATTTCGAATTTCGATGCGAGCGAGGAATCGATCCCTCTGCCGTGAACATTCGCGTGAAAGGGATCGGCGACTGATATACGGCTTACCGTGGACGATTCGTCGCGAAATGATTCGCACGTGCGGAACTTCCTCGCGGCAACTCTCCAGGAAAACCGGCGAGTTTGGATCAATCTCTCCTTAAGTTTTCTGTGTCCTCGCATCGTCCATCTCTTTTTAATGACGTCAGGAGCGAGGAAACGCATGCTAAAAATTTTCACAAAATATGTTAAGATTAAAGGACTCGTAAAGGATTCGTAAAGCGACACTTACAATCGATTGACCGGATCTATAAAATAGTAATCCAAACACTGCTCTTTTGCTCCAACAATCAATGATACCGTAAATTGATAGAATATAATAGAATTATATACAATGAGGTAAGTTGAAAATATACATTTTATGTCACATTAAAATTTACGACAAATCATTGATTGTTGGAATAAAAGGGAAGGACTGCTTTACAGATCTACTCGATTGATTGCAAGTTGCTTTATGGATATGTCCTTTAATTTCAAAGTATTTTGCAGGAATTTCGCGTTTTCTCGCTTCTGAGTTATTAAAAAGAGATGGACGGTGTATGGAAACGGGAACCTTAAGGGGACAGATTTACGAATCAGATCTGCGATATATTTACTAAGAGGCAACGTTCAGAAAGCTAATTTTAGTCGCGCGACGAAGTTATCCTTCCCGATCTTCGCTCATCGTGGAAGTTCATAAAGCGCGTCGTGCGGGGGGATCCTTGGCGAAACGCGCGGCTACCAGAGAGTAGCGGGCTTTTTTTCATCCGGCGTCAGGAATCGATGTGCAGCGATCCGATCCCTTCGCGGCTTCGGTATGCAAACACGTCCCGGATACATAGTCGCGTCGAAGAGACGCACCGACGTTGGTGAAGAGAAGCGGGTGAACGCAGCGCGGCGTGGCGCATATCGTGGGAGAAAGATTCTCCTTCGCCTATATCTGTTTTCCACTTTTTTCCCCGGCACGGCTACCGTGAGAGAGCCAGCCTCGCCACCCCCGCGTCACTCTCGCCCCTTTTTAGTGCCGCCCCCTCCTCTTCCTCTCTATCTGCCTACCTTCCCGCCGTACCATCCTTCGCGCCGCGGACGCGTTCCCCTACCCTCCGCCGCGCTTCGTCTTTGCCTCGAAATGTGGCATTCAACAGGGCTTCCACGCTGCTTGCGGTGGTGCGGAATCCGCGCCGGTTTGCCGCTACGCGCGCGGCCAGGCGGGGGTTGCATCGGGGAAATGATGCGCAGATTGGCCGGATCATCTCAAAAACCACCACCCTCCCGCCTCCTAACCCTCCTCCTCCTCCTCCAGCCCTCTTCCTCTGCCTACCTCCTCTTTCATCCCTCTCGCGCTCGTGTCGCCTCCCGCACCCCTCGCTACGCTTCCGCGCGGGGAAACTCGCACAACCTCTGCCTCCCTCGCACGCGCGGCTCTTCCGCAGCAGCGCACCCCGTTTCTCTCGCGCCCTCGGTCGCCGACGGTCGCCAAGGGGTGGAATACAACCCCCACCGCCACCACCGCCGCCGCCGCCGCCGCCGTCACTGCCGCCGCCACCACCACCGCACACCACCGAACAACCATCCCGACTGCCACGGCCGTCGACGACGAGTGACTGAGTCCTCCGATTATTATCTCATTTGCCGGCGCAACCAGCAGCACGCGTCGCCGCCGCACGGCGCGCTTTCCGACCGTACGGGAGATCCATAGATCATCCGCTGCGCAGACCGACCGTCGTCGTCGGATCGTCGTGTCCGAACAGCAACTTCGACTTCGGGGACTCTGTCGCGTGTGCAGGTGAGTAGTGTGATCACGAGGCAGACCGCGCGCGAAAGAGCACGCGTCACCGGGGACGCGCGGCGTCGCTGAACACGCGGTCGTAGGGTGAAATCGCGGGGGAACTTGTATTTCTTCTTCGCGAGTACCTTTGGTGTTTCTCATATCTTTATAACTTACTCTTTCTCCCTCCACCCTCCCTCTCTCTTCCTCTCTCTTTCTCTTTCTCTGTCTGTCTGTCTGTCTCTCTGATTCTCCGCGGTATTCGTCTGCGCGCTCGTTCAACCGGTGTAGTTGAGTAGTGATCCCCGTCTCATCCTTTGTCTTCGTGGCGGGCTGTGAAACCTCGGGAGGTCACGAGAAAATTGCTTCTTTTTGAAATCTTGCGAAAGAAGTAGTCGAAGCATTGCTGAAATCCACGTGTGTTATTTCTAAACGCACACAAGCGTGCAAAACTCTTTTCTTCTTACGTGTTTCCTTACGGTTTTAAATCGCGTCATCTAACATTCCCGCCTAAGAGACGTGTGAATTATAATTTAGTGCGTCTTTTAAACGCGTTAAATGACGTGACCTGACGTGACAGGAAACGTGTGAAGGGAGATTCGGCCAAAATGACACACCTTGTATTCGCGTTTACGGACTTCTCGTTCGTAAACGCTTTATTTTGGAGACGCGTCGCAATGTTTCACAACGATATAGTCTCGACGAACTCGCCGGCCTTCGCAAATCGCGAACTCGTTCCTACGGCGTCCGTTCTTTTCTTCGCGAAGTCGTTGCGGGTCTGCGCGTGCCGCGCGCACATCGCTAATCCAAGTGTGTTACTTTGGTTGAATTCCTTTTCACACGTGTTTCTTGCCGTTTTAAATCATGTCATTTAATTCTTCTAAGATGATGTTTTTTAAAGAAAAGTTTTTATTCGAAATAATGATTTTATATTATATTTTAAAAATTTCTTTTTCTATAATATATAAATCCCTCAAAAATAATCAGAGCCCGACGTTGCATTCTTTGCATTCGGAAAAAGATCTTCTGTTCTATTTTTCTCGCTCCAGTACTACTAACAATGTATTTTCTTTGACCTTGGATGATTTTCATCTTTTTCAATATGAGAAGGGAAAAATGTCTAGCTGTCAAAGGATTAGATACTCGAGACTTATCAATTACAAATTTCCGCTTTGAACTATATTCTTCAACAATACTTTCAATTAGTTGTAGTATAAAGTCAGAAAACGATGGATTTATAGGATTTCTCATACTGAATAAAAAACAGCAAGATCAGTCAAATGAAAGCCTATAAAATAGGCTATAAACAATGACTATAAAATAAGTGAACGTTTATTCGAAAATCGTAAATATTATATGTCATAAAGAAGAAGGTCGTGATATACATGTATCAAAATATATAGTCTTAAAAATTTTTGTTAAACCGATACCTTAATCTCATTCGATTTCGAGTTACTAAATATAGTACGTTCGTCCTGCGAGTCATTTAAGACGTATCAAGTGACATGAGAGACGGTAAAAAACGAAGAAAGAACTTGAGCCAAATTACACACTCGTGCGTTAAAAAATAACACTTAGATTTGCGGTGCACACCGGCTGACGACGGCGGCCGCGGTTCCGCCGCTTAACTGGTCATTCAATGTGTTCCCCGCTGTCAAACATCCCCGTTATGCGTGTTGCATCTGCACAATCAAAACGATCGATCGGCCGAGCGCTCTGTTTTCTTTCGGCGCGCAAGAGCTAAGCGATCATCGCGATGGCAGCAATGATCACCCCCGCCGCGATTATCGTGCTCGTTATTTGCATTACACTTGCTGCAGGGGCGCGAGGATCAATCCTTGATCCTCTGCGCGATATCCGTCGATACCTCCTAACTTCTCTTAATCTATGAAAAGAGCTAGATCTGTTTCTTCTTCTTCCTCCTCCTCTTTTCTTTCTTCAGTAATAAACAACCGCGAGATTTCTCTTCGGTATTCGCACGGTAATTTTCTGTTCTGCCACGCGCATACTCGACGCAATGATTGATTAAGTTATCAAGCTGCTTGACAGCGAGAAGGAGAAGATGGCTGTAAGAACTCGCGTGACGGTTCTACTTCTCTGCCATTGTTTCTTCATGAATCTCGCTACTCCTTCAAACTTAATCTACAATATGCTCTTTGCTTCTGCTTTCTCTTTATCTCTGTTTGATTCAAAACTTAAGCCTGAAACCAGGAAAAAACAAGCAGGAACCAAAGAGCATATTGTAGATTAAGCTTAAACTACAACCTCCGCATGTCTCCACTTGTTTTTTCTTTCTCCGATTCATCTATTGTCCGTTGTGCTACCAACAAACACACGACTGTGTCGTCTACAAAATTATCACTGATGTCGTATCACTTAAGACTGACAGTTTACCTTGAAGAATTCGACTAATTATTGGTGGGTAAAAATAATAACAACAATAAGTTACCGAGGAAGCAAAATCCGCATCTAAAGTGGCGGAGAAGCGCACGGTGTCGGACCATAATTATTTTTCGGTTGGAAGTGTGGTTTCCTGGACTCTCTCTCTCTGTCTCTCTCTCTCTCTCTCTCTCTTTGCCGTCGTCTGCGACTCTCCCAGCGACATTCGCACTCCTTCGCGCGCGCGGACGCATGCGAAGAGGAAAAGACGTTTGAATTACGCGGGGAGTTCAACCGTAAAAAAGCCCGGATTCTGCTGCGACCGACGCTTTTTCTTTCCTCCCTATGCAAAGTAAGACCGTTCCGTCGCGGAAGCGCCCCGCAATAAAAATATTTATGCGGAGACGGTAAAAGAATCGCGTTTCCTCGAGGAGGAGTTAACGGAGCGAAGTGTGAGCGAAGCGCGCGAGGATGACACTCGAGACACACTGGAGCTTCCACCAGCGGGCTTCGTCATTCACACTTCATCGGGGTGGGTTTGGTTAATCTTGCGAGCGGCAGTGTCACGGTGGAGCGATGCGAATCCACTTTCGCGAATTTTCCGGGCCAACCCGTCGACGACGCGTTTCAGATCGATCCTTTCGAAGGTCTCAAAGGCGGCCTCATTAACTCCCGATCGCCTTGACACGCGATTGACACTCCCACGTCGCGTGTATTTCACGTCGCGCCTTGCTTTCGACCCGAGGGGTGAAATTTTTCGCGCGACCTGTCAAGAACTCTCTCAGGTCGGGCTTTGCGCAGCGGGATGCACCTGCGTACCCAGCCACCGTTGAGAGCAGCGTCTTTTTCCGGGGAATACTTTCAGAAATAATATTTGCGCAAGCTGACTATAGGAAAATATGTAAAAATAGCTGAAGAGCGGGCTGGGAGCCCCGAGGGCCGAGGGAGCGGCTGCCTTTGGGGAACGCGGAAGGAATGCGCCCGCGATATTCAGCAATGCTAGATAAAACAGACGCGGCCACAAATTGGACGCCGGCAATTGTGTCAAAATATTTCTTTTGCGCGGACGTACAATTTTTATAGGGGATATCGCGCGGCGATGGAAAGAAAAACACACGCGTCAACTGGCGATCTTCGTAATGGAAATAGCAGCGCAAGGTTTTATACACAGCGGCTAGTGTGTAAACGCGATATAGAAAAGCTCGCGCGGCAGCATTCGAGGTGTCCCGTCGAATTCGAGTCGAATAAACGATGGGAACCAAGCGAGCAGCTGCGGGTGCGGGAGAGAGAGAGAGAGAAAGAGAGAGAGAGAGAGAAAGACGACGGAATTTTGCACGAAGCGCACTCTAACGACGTACTTAATGAGAGAAGAAACATATTATAAAGCCGAATAAAAGTCACACGAGAATGAAACAGAGAAAGGGAAAAAGACAGACACAGAGAGAGAGAGAGAGAGAGAGAGAGAGAGGGAGGAGGGAGGCTGTACGATCTCTCTTGTCAGCTCTCCTTCAGCATTTCGCGACGGAGATAGCGATGATGAAGTGAATACCGAAAGGAGGCTACGGGGAGCTGGAAGAAAAGAGCCAGAGACGCGGAAAGAGAGGGCTTGCGCGAGCAAGAGAACTGGAGTTTAAGAGAACGACGGGGTGACAGAGTCCGCGGTAGTAGCAGCGGTGACGGCAGCGGCGGCGGAGAAAGCGCGAGAGAGAGGAAGAGGAAGAGCAGCAGCGCGAATGCAAATATTCGCAGCGACAGAGATTGAAACAATCCGCCAATTAGAATCGTCGACGCGAACGGGATTATGCAGATTCGCGCCGCCCGATGGCGGACGGGACTGGCAGCTGCCGCAGCGCGAGCGAGCTTAATTCAATCCGCCGAGTTGTCTTCTGAATCGTAAACCGGCCTTCCCTCGCGCCGCGTGAAACCGAGACTGACTGTCTCTCTCTCTCTTTCTCTCTCTCTCTCTCTCTCTCTCTCTCTTTCCTTTTCTCTCTCTCTTTCTCCTTCTCTTCCTCTTGATGCTGACGAAGATGACGAGGACGATGAAGAAGCGACGCGGATGCGACGGCGAAGTGATTCGCGCACCACCCGCGCCGCTCGCCTCGGGCGGAATAATAATATAACGGCGGCCCCGTAAAGCTCCCTTTTACGGTCTTTAGAATACAGCCACATCCGCTATCATTGTCTCCTAAACGAGTCTGAAAAAATCGCCGACGCTTCCGAAGGACTTTCTTCTCTGCGCCTTCTCCCTCGGCGGTAACTCCGCGCCTCGTTCGTCTTACCTTGCGTCGCCCCTTCGTATGCGTACCGAGGCACTCTCCGGGAAATCACGGATACACGAGGAAAATGCGCACGATGAAGAGGTCGTTGGACTTGGCCGTCTTGGAGGAGCAGTGCGAGGAATTTTAACGAACGGAATGATCTCCTCCAGTTTCTCCACAGTCGTCTCTCATGAGGGAGATTTCGGGAGATAGCGCTCTCTCGATAAGGGGGCAACCTGTTTTCGGGGTCAGCCGCGAAACCGATCTCGAGGTCGGCAGGTATCTCGTGGTATTACGTCACGAGAAGGAGGGCGATCCTCCCTGTCACCACGGCTGCAACTTCGATGCGCGTATCCCGCGATACGGATGGACGGAATTATGGCCGCGCTGTTTGTAACGGCGGCGGCGACGGCGGGCGCCGGCGACGGGCGGCGTATTTATCACGAAGAGTAAAACTGACAGCAGTCCATTTCCCGTTCGTCCTGCCTGTCTGGCTGAACATAATATCTCCTGACGAAACAACGTGGACGCCGTTTGTTTGGGAAACAATGGACCGAAACAATGCCCGATCCCTCTCTCGCTCTCTCTCTCTCCGCGCGCGGACCTCCGCTCTCACTCTCTTCTACCCTCCACGCCCCGTTGCTCTTCGGTCTTTCCGTCGACCAGAAGCAGAGAGAGAGACCCCTTCGGGAAACTCTGCTTTTTCCGCCGCGAAGAAACATTTCTTCGACGACAACGACGGATCGCCGCGCGGCGACACGCGACGATTCGCAGTCGAGATCGAGAAATTGCGATCCCCTTCGCAATTTTGTGAATCTCCGCACTTTTCAGCTTTTTTCAGCTTTAGTAAGAAGGATCTCCGCCGCGAGGAGGGTAATATTCTGATTAGATAGTCGATGAATTTCTCTTTTTCTTCGACGATGACGCTAAGAGAAAGACACCTTTGCGCCTACAAATTCGCACGCGTGTGCAAGAGAGAGAGAGAGAGAGAGAGAGAGACACTACCGGATAACTTCTCCCGGAGGATTCTCGCGCGAAGACGAAACCGAACATGCACTTGACAGAAATTAGTATTCCTTAATGGATGACGCGATACCAGACCGGCTCATCTCGTTGCCTACCGTAGACCGCCGCTTCCTCGTCTTAGACTTAAGGCTGGGAGCCGTTCAATTAATTTCAGAAGACAATAGTAGCTCGCTTCCACATTGTCGAGTGGCGCTTGTACGCGCTTCGTACACACGGTCATCACATCGCCGAGCCCACCGCTATCTGCTTGTATTCCGGGATATTCGCGAACGCGCCCAAGTGTGAAAATCTACCTGCGCTTTCTCAATTATTTCCCCCTTCCCCTCAGTTATTCTCAGAGATATTTATTTACAGAAATATCTCCGTTAAAGTCTCTTCAATCTTCGTGATAAGTAGTGATTACTGTAAGCAGGGTTGGGAAAACATGCATCTCTTTTAACGCCGTTATCGTTACATGTACTTTCATTCAGCAACGACTGGTCGACAGCGTTATTCTTCTGCCTCCGTTAATAATGATAATGCAATTTTATCTTCTAAAATAACGATAATCAAACTATAATCGTTACCTTCATCGTTTTCGACAGCTGTACGAATCGTAAAGGAAAGATCTTTAACCTTCTAACCGTGTTTGTTTCGGGTATACTTTGACCATGTTCAGGGTCTAAATAGACCCAATGGTGAGAATTCACTATTTAATTGATATATATGTATTTTTTTATATCTTTTATTTTAGCATTATATAAAGTAATTTAGTACAATATGTACTGACTTTTTCTAAAATAACTCGAAAAGTTGCGAAGTATCGCATTTGTATTTAGAATATTACTAAAACTATGTGAACTTTGAAACTGATCTGGGTCAAAAAAGACCCAGAGCACAGTTAGAAGGTTAAATTCGATTGAAAACATCCAAAAAATGTAATCTTATCTTTAGCGGAATATTCTTACATGGAGAAAAGTAATTTGCTCTTTTAGCAAAATCGTCGTTGCTACTGCATATTCGTAGTGACATCAAAAAAATTTTGTTGACGTAACTAATTTTACAAATTATTTGTTATCAGAACAGAAGTAGTTTCGTTACCAGGATAGAAAAAATTTGTTGAGTGTATTTGTCTTAAGAATCACGTTAATTTGCTATTGATACAAAATAATGCATCTTTAGTAAATTTATTTGTTATCAGAGAAAACTGTAACTGTTTATATAAATCCGTTATGGTTCTTATAGCAAAATAATTTGTAGATTTAGCAAATTATATCCAGCAAATAGTGATTAGTACTCTTAGTAAATCTTTTTGCTGTCTATATAATAACGAAAAGATTTTGCTAAACCAGCAGAAAATTTGCTGGGCCAGCAAATTATTTTTCTCCGTGTATATATAGCCTCAACAGGATTCTTCTAAAACCAAAAAAAAATATTCTAAGCGCAATATTTTTAAAGTTAGAAAAGTTTCGTCTTTTATTTACAAATAGTTTCGTCTTTTATCTGCAAATCTTGTTCTTAATAGAGCTTTCTTCTAGCTTCCAAGAAAGCTTCAAAACAACATATTCTCTCGATGCAAAAGGAAAAAGGAATAATATCTAATAGATTTAATAGTTTACTTCATTAGGAGAAAAATACTCCTTTAATAGGAGTCTATTTGCTTATAATATGAGATTATAAGGAACAGAATCTTCTGACTATGCAGAGAAAATATTATAATCTTTTTTTCATATTTCATATTCTTTTTAATTTTACTATGTTTTAATAGTGTAGGAATAAACTGTCAGTGAGGTCCATGTTACTATAAAACAAGTAAATTTTGTTAGAAATACAGCAAATGTTTCAATAGGAAATTTCAGTTGCTAAAATACAAGTAACACGTACGAAATGACAGGATAATGATTTGCTGCAGAATGTTGATCTGTTCTTCGGCTATAAAATTCTCCATAATAATTTTTACTATAAAATTCCCTCCATGTAAAGTTCTTTCTCTGAATTTTCGAATATTTTCTTTCTGATTTTAGAAGAATCCTTTTGAGATGATACAGAAGAGGATTTTGCTAAGAACAAGATTATATTTTTTGGACTGAAGAAGTAGCAGAAATTGCAAGGATTCTTGTTATTTCTTGGATAACTGTAACAAGTTATTTTTCAGAATAAATAACGGTAGTTGAGAGTTATTTTTTTAATGTGCAACGAGAAACGATGACGAATTATTTTTAATAGTACAATAATCTCCCCAACTCTGACTACGAGTAAAGTCTGTTACGGTATTAAATAGTGCAATAAGATGGAAAACGTCTAATGACAGTCTCACGACATGCTTGTTACTTCGTTTCGCCTCGTGAGTCAGTCGAATCAATCCGCTTAGGTTATACTCTAAAAAATGTTGGTAAAAAAGCTTGACCGCTCTTTTAAAAATTCATAGTATATGAGTAATCTTACAGAAAATTCGTAGTATAGTAACTTCAATTTTTAGTAAAATAAATTTATTCCTTAAAAAGGACGTTTTGGAGTAAGCTCAGAAAGTAACTCGCGCAATTTCTTTCCCTGGCCAGTTGCCGCAATGACGACGACCACCGGCGATCCGTCGACCCTGAAGACCCCGGCTTCCTTGTCGGGTGGCGATCTGGTGTCCCGCCTGTTGGCGGCCACTCCCCCGTACTTGTACAACGTGCCGCTGACACCACACAGCTTCTTCTTCAGCGAAATGCTGCGATCCTTCGTACAAGCCAAGGCAGAGGCGCCGTCGGCCAGCGGCGGCGGAAGCGGCGGAGGAAGCGGCGGCGGTGGTAGCGGCGGTGCACCGAGTGCGTCCCGGCGTCGTAAGCGATCCTGGCGAGACGCCCGGGACCGGCCGTTGGAGCTCACGACGAAGGAACGGCCGCATCATCATCATCACCATCACCAGCACCCGGACAAGTACTTCCACACGGTGCAGCAGCCACCTCAAGGGGCGCCGGACGCTCGTCTGGAGAACGAGACGAAGCGTGCCGACGTTTACCCCGACGCGGAGAGCAAGGTCGCCGCTTACGATCAGAAACCCAACTTTGGCACGGACATCCTGAAGTCCATCGACGAGAACAAGAACGAGTTTCCGCGGCAGCACGGCAAGAGCTTCTTCGACGAGCGGCCGCGGCACTTCGAGCAGGCGCAACCGCCGGAGAACATCTTCCCTGGCGGGGAGCCGCGGAAGGTGAAGCCGGAGGAGTCACAGCAGCTCGAGCGTAGGAACTGTAACTTCGTCGACAACAGCAGGAGCTACGAGGATCGCAATGCGAAGAGCATCGTGTCCAGCCAGCAGCAGCAAGAGGTACCAGTCGTGCAACTGCCGGACCAGAAAAAGCTGGACTTCTCGCGGGGTTTCCTGCCCGGTTTGCCAAGCGTTGCCAGAGGTTGCGAGATCTTACAAGGCGTCAAGGGCTTCGCTCTGCCCGGCAACATGCCCAGCGGGCCGGACTTCTTGCCGAGCCCGCTCTGGTACCCGCCGTACCCGATGCCACAATCTTACCCCGGCATCGACCCCCTGCACTTCTTCATCGACCTGCGTGTCTCAGGCCATATCTGGGATCGCAAACATAGCGAACGGCAGCTGCCTTTCAAGAGCAAGCATTGCTCGGCCTTCAGCGTGCCGCAGCAGTCGAAGGAATACAACGGCAATCGACCCTTGAATCTCACCCGGGACGAAGCTACAACGTCCAAGTGCCGCGGCGACGAGAACACGCGGGGTACCAATTACATCCTGAAGCATCTCACGAAGACGTACAGGGACATACAGCGGACAAGGGACGCGTCGTTGACGGAGAATGAGGAAAACTCGAAGGAGTCGCACGAAGGTAGGCTGTGTGATTTCCTATCCTGTGATCCTCCTCCGCGCCGAATTGTCGCGTCTTTGGTTTGGTCTTTCTTTCTTTCTTTCTTAACTTTTCATTCCGCGGGCTCTCGAGATTCGATCAGGCATATCGCTCGGCGACGGTGCAATTCGTTCACGGGGTGTTCCCCGGAGCGAAAACGAAAATGCGCGAGATCGCACGTAGAAAAGAAATCAGCGGAAGGAACTAAGATATAGTCGTGATGACGGACGTTTTCTTCAAAACTGAGACAGCTAATGCCGTCGTTGCTGAGACCTAATTTATTATCTGTTGAAATTCAGACGATACGGCGCGAGATATTTGCGTCAATAGACATTTATTAGTTCAGCTAAGAAATTCCACAACACAACTTTTTAGCATGTTTGCTTCCACGGTTTATTTGTTTGTTTGGGGAATTTTCTCCGCAGCAAAAACGAATTACATTCGTTCTCATGTAATTGTGCAAAACAGACTTGGCATGTTTATGTGCGAATGTACAAAGAAAAATGTTTTTGTCATACACGACGTTGGTAGCGAACACGTTAAATAACATCGAGAAAATTTAGAATAAACACGAATTTGAGGTGAGAGAGATCGGAAGTGTCACACATGTGTGATAGCGAACGTATTAATTTTCTTTCTTCTTCCGTTGGTAATGATAAAGGGGTGACCCAATTACATTTTCTGTATTCTGCATAATCACAATTTTTCTCATTATTTTGGCAATCGTAACAATTATAATCGCTACTTTTATCGTTATTACGGCAGCAGCGGGTCGTGAAGAAAGAGTTTTCGAAGCTCCGTGAGAAAAATAATAGAGATTGCAACGACTTTTTTTAACTTCTTAAGTAACAGTGATGTAACGATAACGGCAATATGTACATTCTAATTGTAGTAACAACAATTCCCAGCAATGGCAGCAAAACTATTCGACGCGACTGCTGATTTCGCTGATAATGCAGAATGATTTTTCAGCGCGTATCTCGCGTGTCGCGTTTATTAATTCGAGCAGAGTTTTACGAACGCGATTTCCCACCGCGTTACCGCCAACCTGAACGAATTTTCGACAACGCGCTCTTTCTTCGCCGTTCTCGTCTTCGAGAAGAAAAAAGAAATTTCGTCCAAAGCTCTCCGCCATTCTAACGGAGGCGGAAGAAGGGCGCGTGCATGCCACGGCGAAGTGTTCGTAATCTCGCGATGGTTTTCAAGCTGGCGATGAGGACATCGCGAAGGCGGAGGACTCCGGCAGCGCGACGGCTGCCAGTCCCGAGGAAGAACGGAAGGACCTGCGCGCCCTGATCGGCCTTGAATTAGTGGTGGACTACGTGAAGGAGCCGAAGGGCGATCCGCCAGCCGAGCAACAGACCTCGCAAGTAACGGAATAACTCGCCATGACACCGCGCGGACTCGCCAAGGGACGCAGCACGGTCTTTCCACCCTTTAATCGCTAAGATAGTCGTGTAGCGTCGTTAATCGCATCCCCCGTTCGACACCTCCATGAATTCTGCACTCGATCGCGCCACCACCTCGCCGTAATGTAGCACCCGACCTGACCTGATCTGACCTGACCTGACCTGACCGACGAGTCGCGAGATCGCGCACCGAAGGCCGACCTTCTCTTTTTCTTGCAGTGTGTATGTGTATGTATATGTGTGCACTTAAAAAAAAATGGTCTTGCCGTCATGACGAAAATTATCTAGACACGAGAAATCTGCTGAGATGAATAAGTGGACTAGCAGCAAAGGACAAAGCAAACACTGCGATGTCGCATATGTTTTATGTTCAGTTAATATGGATGACAGAAATGCTAAGTCTAACGTGGCGCGAGATCAGTATGATATAAAGTTTATAAAAAAGATAGTCAATCTTTTCTCCTCCAAAAGATCTTGAGTCTCATCAGATGCGCACCTGCGTACACATTGTGCAGCTTTAAGGATATTGAAATGGCTACTGGTGAACTTCCACATTTAAGAGTTCTACTAAAGAACTTTTTATAAAGCAACTTAGCATTTCTGAAGTGTCTCGTTTTTAAGTGTTTTCTTTGTTTTCAGTGAGAAGAAGTTACGAAACTAAACTATGATACAAGTAATTAAATAATTGGAACAGAATCGTCACTAACCGAATTATTACCATGAAAAGTGACTCATTTCCACCGCTTCAAGGTGAATGCTGACTACTTTCCTACGAGTTTGGAGAAGCGGATAAAAATTCTACGTAATTGCATGTAAATGCAACAGCCTAATCGTATTCAACATCCTAAAATATGTAAGATTACGTGTATAACTTATGTTATATTTTCTCAGCAAAAATCGGTCCGTTTTAGTCATCCTTCCCTGGCAGATGCTGTTGGAATTTTACGCACAATTTTCTAGCAGATACATAAAACAGCGTTAAATTATAATTGTGACATTTAGTATTCTATCTGCACCAGCGAAACATTTTTTTGAGTATGAGATACCCGTCGTGTCTTCGTATGATGATCGTAAGCCGCCCCTTGCTTTCCGATCATGATCGTCGCGTGATTTTCTTTTATTTTTTCCAAAGCGCGAACATTTTCCCCACGGAGGAAGAAAGAGAGGGAGAGAGAAAGAGATTGACCGCTACTCATCGTAGAGTCTCGTAGAGCTTTGTCGCACCTTTACATACGTCTTCGGAGACACCGTGTTTCGAACGTGTCGCAGTTATTCGCCTTCTCAAATCGACGGTCAATATTGTGTCATCGCCGGCTCGTACATCGATTCTGTACATTTAAACGCGCCGAGCGGCTCAGCCGGAGAGAAAGGAAAAAAGTGAGAAAGCGAGAAGGGGGAAGGTAGGGGGAGAGAAGAAGTTATGAAATCATTTTACAGCGGAAATTGAAGGGTCGCGGACGACCCTTATCGGAGCAGTGGTAGCAGCTCCGATCCGAATTCGATATGTGATATGCACTGTAAATATTATAATAGTACTCCGAGATGTATCTATATGTATTAATAGAACGTATTCATTGTTGTAAATTGAACGTAATAAAAGCAATGCGATTTAACTGTATTACTTGTCGATCAGCCTGTGATTCTCCTCGGCTTCGCGTATCGTCGAAGGGGGAGTCCGTCAACGACGCGGGCCCGGACGATCACGCGCTGTCGTGATTGGCGATGACGCGAAGCTCCAGGATCACTTCACCCTTATTATTGCTGTTCAGCTTCATCGACTTACGGCCCCTCTCTGGGACGAGAATGACGTCGTCGTAACTGTTCCTCCTGGCAACCGACTCGCCCAATCTGTAGTATGCGATCGGTCGGTCCGTCTCTCTGTTCAACTCGATGTACGGTTTCTCCGGCGCGATAACGGCGTATACCTGGTGCAAGGGATGTGTCATCGTGAAAGCGACTCGTGTCTAAATTCGCCGCGGTGTCGCGTGTGCGCTTGCAACAATACCGAGAGTGATCGAACGCGACCAAGTTGATGCACGGAGAAGCCGCGGGAAGACACGACAAAGTGTGACAATCAATTACGTCCTGCCTAACTGCGGTAAGACCCACGGATTAACGCTAAAGGTTTAACTCAATAACTGAATACGGAATCATCGAATTATCGTGTTAAATACCAATGCCCGGACACGTATTTAATCCTGGACATCCTTTTTGTGTTGGTACAATTATAAATACTTAAACTTTCAACATAAAATACATATACAAGTATTGAATGTATACATACATTCCATGTTGAAAGTTTAAATATTTAAAGATCAAAACAATAAGAATGTCCAAGATTAAGTATGTACCCAGGAATTGGTACTTTTACCTTACCACTCGTAGACGAAGAATTTGCAAATTTTTCGCGAGGCACCATTCCGGTCTATTTACGAAAATCAACGTCTTACTGAACGTTATGAGAGCGCGTTTGAACAGAACGATGTCCAGGGTGTTGCATTTTACATACAGGTCAATACGACGGGCTGACTATCTGTTTCACTGACTACTGAGACCGCGCATGACTACGCGCGCCTGCTAACGAAGCACATAGACAACCCGTATTGTACTTAAGTGCAATACCCTTTACAGAGACAGAATCTTGTAAAAATTATTATAGGATTTCTTGTAACCGAGGAATAGATCGACATTCCGTGGTAATTGACTATCCTTTCACTTTACATGCGCTGTTTATATTTCAGAACAGAAACACGCTATTAACAGATTTGCTCAAAACTTAAGTGTGATTTCTACACGGAGAAATGTACGTGCTACTTATATTTCGAGAACCGAAATGTGCTATTGAAAAAGTTTCTAGTGAAATTTACCATGTTCCTTAGCAAGATAGACCTTATTGACAGTCTATTCCTGCGCTACTTGAAACATATGTAATAAAAGCAAGAAGAGTTTATATGAGAGAAACTATGATATCCTCTTTCCGTGAACAAGCAGTGTCTACCGTGTAAGAAACTCGCCCAGGATCCGGCTTACGGGATTGTTCATACTGACCTTCCTGGTCGGAGATCCGACGTTCTCGTTCTCGACGAGGGGTTCCCCCGCGGAAAAGGCGAGGTCGAGATCGCGGGAGGACTGCTCCAGAATAGCGTCGTTGTTACGTGGACCGTCTACATTCTCCAGGTAGTAAACCCTGCCGTGGGCCTGGCGAGTCGCGACAGAGACGACGAGCACAAAGAGAATAACCCTCCTCATATTTGATCGCGCGCTCTCGTTCGCTTTCGCTCGACGTTGCCGTTGCGACGCGTCGATGGTCCGCGAAGATAATGGAGCGAAAGTTTCGCCGTGCCAGATGCCAGACTCGTTAATCCGCGGTAAGGCGATTATTGGTCGCCGCGCGCGGGATCAATTAATTAAACGCGTGGCAAAGGGAATGACGTTCTTGCGTGGGCGGGATTAAAATGTTCTCGCGCGCGCAAATGCCGCCGATGGCACACTACTCGCCGATTCTCCGCGTGAATAATTCCGGATGAACGAGGTAGTGCGAGAGCGAGAGATAGAAAGAGAGAGAAAAAGGGAGCGAAAGGAAGAGGGAGACATCATCCGGAGAACGTTGTTCTCGTCGATCCGCGCGGTACGTAAATCCGTGGAAATGACGCGACTTGATAATTCGTCACCAGCTTCGTGAGAAGGTATTGCGTGCGTGTTGCACCCGCAATATCCTCCTCCGAGGGGAGACCCTCCTCCGCCATGTATGCGGACGTTTAACCGCGTGTTGTCTTTCATTTCTTAAAACGACGAAGACGCTCGAGAGGGACACGGTACATACACGACGCGTGTGTAGTCGACGGGGAGGAGAGATTAAAAACGACTTTTTCCAAAGGATCGCTTCCATTGACCGGGGGTTGCACCGCGGCCGGGTTCTGAATAATGCATGAAATTTGTTCCCCGGAATCGAATCGCGCCTCGTCACCGGCGCGCCGGCACCGCACGACGACAAGAGAGCGGGCATAAATCTAAATAATTTCAACCCTCGAATTTTTATTATTCCTATGACTACGATGGCGCGTACTCGTCCTCTCGCGTTCTGACTCTTTCTCTCTTTCTCTCTCTCCCTCTCTCTCGCACTCTTTGCCGTGTGCGTTGAATATGCATGCGCCGCTTTCCACACTTCACCGGAGTGTAGTCCGGACCTTTGTGCAGCCGCCCCGTTGCCTCTATGCACATTACGCTTCTTGCATTGACCCGCGCCGATCCGTACGGCCGCGTATGTACTCGTTAGCATTACCGTATTGCACCGTACGGACACTTGGCGCGAACAGTGTAATACGCTACCGTGATACGAGGGCCCGTCGCTTTTTCAACTGCCGAATCTCCGCCTTGGATTCAAAGCGCGCACACTTTCGCAATCGCAATTTCGCGACTCTCGCAATATCCACAATTGAAATGTCCAGAGACACGGTAGCGCGACGAAGTGGACGCGTATCTTTTACCTAAAGGAGAACTATTTTCTCTGGAAATGCGATAATTTCGGACATGTCTTTTTCTTGACTTCGCATTAACGATCAATGTGACGCTCCTTTTTACTCATTCAATACAATTATCTATTACACTTGATAAATACGTAACTTCGTTTTCAGCATCTAGTTGTCACAATTACACCCGTGCTCGCAATAAAAATAGTTGTGACACTAATCTGGGACTTCTCTACGAAATCCATAGATATTTTGCAAGATAAACTGATTTTCTTAATAAAAGCGTTCCATGAAATAATCATGGTCTCTAACGGGCCGTAAGCGTTTTCAGACACGGAGAGACGCGCGTGTAGCATGAGATACTCCGCCGAACAGCGCACGCCGATATAACAGATGCGCCGTATGACGTATCGCTCGATTTATCGCGACAGGTGAAATACTTCGGATTACACACAGACGCAGGCTGTTGCTCTTTTTTTTTCTCCCTCCTCCACTTTTGATACGGGCGCGACCGCGGAGCGGTTGTGATGTCGCGTGTATACCTCTCGTGCCTGGAGCAAAATCTAATATCCGAATTTTCCGGAGGAGTTAGTCATTACTCACGCCGGCGGATCGCGATAAATCACAGAGGGAATTAACGAGCGACGAAGATGACACTGGGTCCCCTCCTCGGTCTCATCCTTTTCCTTCGCCGGTTCCCAGCCGGGCGGTGAAATATAGCCGGCAACTTTTCTCATACTTGAGAGTTTTCCCGCAACGATATCGTACCGCACTGTGCTGCACCGCACCGCGCCGCGGAGGAGACCGAGGGAGCGCGGGAGGAAGTTATGAAGTGGTGGCGGGTAAGTGCTATAACGTAACACCGCGAGGGGGAACGGTACACCGTCGCAGCACGTCGGTATCAAGAGCGATCAAGAGGACTTTCCAGCGAACATTATCACCTTTCTTCGCGATTGTTCCCTCGCGTGGGGATCATTAATAAAAAATATTGTACAAAGAGAAGATACGTGCGAAATGATCGCCACGCGAATCACAAGTATGCGGCTTCTGAATGTAAATGTTGTCTCCGCAGAGACAAACGGAAAGAAAACAGAAATTTCACGACGATAATACATGGATAGTTGGAATCGAGCGATCAGGAGACGGAATCTTTGATTGGATATGATTCCAGGAGGATCGAGCTGATCCGCAATGCGAAGTAACGTCTGCCGATGCGGCTGGTTCTCGTAAACTTTTTATTAGTTTGTAATACTGCGCAACTTCGATATTTCAAACTATTCTTTTCTCTTCTTAGAGAAAACATGTCCCGTGTAACAATTCTATTTAAAATTATGATACAGTATTCCTATTACGTAATTTACACAGCTAATCTCCTTATGACATCTACTAAAACCATTTTCTCTGACGGGTAAAACAACCTATTACGATAGACGTATACACAAAACATGCTCAGTCAATGTAAGTCTCAACGAACGGTGGCGTACATGCATTTCACTTCATTTCACGATAAAATAGAACTAAATGTCGTTTCATACTTGATGGATCATCATCGAGATTATTTAAAATCTCTTGCCCGCGCAACGTTTGTTCTACTAATGATTCACAGTTTCTTTAGCGAGATTCTGTCATGCGATTCTACGTATTGTGCGAAATAAATTATATATGTACATCTTTTTATTTCGATGAAAACACGCTATGACTTATTTGAATTTTTTGAAATTTAGCATATATAAGTAAAATACAGTCCTAAATACTTTTTATAAATCGTCCAAAAAAACGTTTGCAGATCGAATCATAGAGATTCAAGAAGAATCGCTGCATTGATCTCTACATGTGGACAAACAATATGACGGGATACTCAAGTACGCGACCTATCGCGAGCCCGAACACGAGCAGAGACGCACAGTACAACGATGGTAGAAAATAGAGTGGCCCGTTTAACAAGGGCGCAACATTCTACGAGTATTTGGCAGTTCAGGCATCTCAGATCGACGGCACTTCTGTTTATTTCGACTGTGCAGCGACCTTCTTGCAGATCTCGTTGGTGTACTCGCTACACTTCGCAGTTCCGCCTAGATCGCCGGTCAGATATTTCGCCTCCTTGATGGTATCGTAAGCGGCATTTTCGATGATCTTAGCTTCATTGGTTAGACCCATGTGCTTCAGCATCATCACCGCTGATAATAACAACGCCGTCGGATTTGCCTTATCCTGGCCAGCGATATCTGGTGCCGTGCCATGTACCTGTAACAAGTCAAGATTAGTCGCGTGAAGTGAGATTTGATCAGAAAATTAATGTAAGATCAGGTTCTCATCGACATTAAAAATTAAGAGTTAAACTTACTGAATTATATTAATCTTAATCAAAATTAAGAAAACTAATTAAGCTCGCATTAATAACAAATGCTTACAGATTCGAAGAGTGCCCCGTTCAGACCGATGTTTCCACTAGGAGTAAGACCGAGTCCGCCCACTAGGCCAGCGCACATATCCGATAGAATATCACCGTACAAGTTAGGCATTACGAGCACATCATATTGGCTCGGATCTTGTACCATATTTAGGCAAACTGTGTCCAAGTATTTCTCCTCAAATTTAACCATGGGGAACTTCTGCGCGGCTTCTCGGCAACATCGCAAGAACAGGCCGTCCGACATCCTCATGATATTTGCTTTATGTACAGCAGTTACCTACAAAACGAATTCGAGATTCAGGCAGAATACGCGACATCACATAGCTCGCGAAATTTCAATGTTGCTCGGATTCGACGGGTGTGAAGCGTCGTAGTCAGAAACGCGAGCATTTAAGCGTTCGGCGGGCAATCAACAATGCTCACTTGGTGATTCATCTGATATCCACTCGGATTGTAAACACTTTTTTCTTACCAACTCGCTTCAAGATAGGCAACAAGAAAGAAACTAACGAGAGTAAGCTTAACGATAACAGAAACTTCAGGTCTTTTGGTTACTATGAAATTCTACAACTCAAGTTGTGTTCTATCATCTGCCTTTCATATCGCTTTCCTTATCACGTATCTTATCGCATATCTCGCCCTTCGATTATTATTATATCTAACTAATTCTGCAATTCTAGACAAAACTCGTAATTTGTTCTCGTAAGAATTGTAAGAAAACTTATGAATAGATCTGCAATTCTATATGGACTGTATATCATGTGGTAACTCGTAAATATCTACGATTTTTTTAATTTTTTTTCGTAAGCTACAACTTTACGATTTATGCTGCAATTCTAAACAAATATACGAGTAAATCGTAAAATCTTAAAGTCGTAACTTACGAAAAAAAAATCGTAGATATTTACGAGTTATCATATGATATATGATAACGCATAAAATTGCATCATAAGTTCTTACAAGTCTTACGAAAACAAATTACGAGTTTTACGATTTTGTCTAAAATTGCTAAATTGCATACTGTTAGTATGTTAGAATTCTGTGTTCAAAAATGTTAATACGCTGATATTCCCATTGATTACTGAGTGTTCAATTCGAGTTCAAATCAGTAAATGTGTTGAATAAATGCAATTTGTGATACATATATTTGTTAGTTCGTTACATCGACTCTTTGTCGGTTGAATATTTAATTTGTCGCATGCAGTTAAGTTTGATAAATTAATGAGATGCGGCAATGTTACGGTCATTAGTGAACGCGTTAACTGCTTCTTTATCATGCGCGTTCTCTTGTTAACACGGTGGTCTTGCGTTGATTCAAAGCGACGGACAATTCCGCCTGGATTCTAAACTTATTCCACTGCTGAACATACGTACCTTTTTCCTATTATTGTCTCTGGCATATTGGAAAGCGAATTCCGCTACTCTAGAAGAAGCCTCTTCAGTAATTAACTTAATAGACTGCACTACACCATCCACGATTTCATGCTCTATACCAGAGTACTCGCCCTCCGTGTTTTCCCGGATAGTGACGACGTCTACGTTGTCATACAATGTCTTATATCCCTCCAATGACAGGCATGGCCGTACGTTGGCGTACAAGTTGAATTCCCTGCAAAAACGCAACAGTTTCGTTAGCAATGAAGTCCATAATAATAAAAGCAATGACAAAATCAACCAGATAAGGTAATATACGCGCATATCACACTTCGCGCAAAACGCGCACACCGTTCGTATTTCCGAGTAATTGCTCGCGCTTATCATGATATTCGCGGTTACGTAATCGCGCGTCACTTGAGACAACACTCTCGCGTATGCAGGAGTTAATTTCAATTATGCTCAATTGCAATGAGAGACAATGGCGAGCTTACTTTCTGAGTGCAAGATTCAGAGATCTGTGTCCTTTTCCTATGGGAGTCATCAAAGGGCCTTTCAGACCAATTTTATTCCTATTGACAGAGTCGATGGCTGCTTGCGGTATACCAAACTTGCCATCAGGACCCTTTACAGGTGTCACATCAACAGACTCCCATTCTATAGGTACCTATTATTTCAGAGATAAATGTAGAGAATTAATTTCAAATCTAGACTGGAAGAGCTGTTTGATCAAGAATAAATACATTTGTATCAAAGATAGCAATATCAGACACATTAGCATGTAATAGAAAATATGAGTTGAGTAATCACATTACGCAATCAAAACATTGCTAGAGGTTAGTCAGTATTGCTGATTTGTAGCTCTCATTTGTTACAAAAGACTTCCTCTCTCAATTCTGCAAAAATTTACAATGAGTGAAACAAATGATGCACAGTGAGAGAAACAAATAATACAATGTTACATATAATATCATTTTCAATATTCAAGGGGCAATTATATAAACTGACTGTTTTAGATTGTAGAACACTTGCAACGTGAAAAATTTAGCAGCAGCTACAAGGAATACAAAAAATTGGCCTATAATTGACTCAACTCACATAGGGATAAGATTAAAATAAATAGCTTGAGGTTAAAGTGACTCTAGGGTGAATCGGGTCACTTTGCAAGATAAAGGCCATGATTACTCTTTGGATTAAACACATGGCGATAACAAAATAAAATGTACGTTACCTTGGCAGCTTCAAAGATCTTCTGCACGGCTACGGAGATCTCGGGTCCGATGCCATCTCCGGGGATGAGGGTGCATTTGTGCACCTTATTGCTGTAAAGTCGCACACCGGTGACCTTCAAGGGGATCTGTTAACACGCCACATACGATTGAGAAACGTATGAGCTTCGGATGCGATTGAATCCGGCTGCGAATTCAATGCTCTGCGGCGAAGGCACGTGGATTCCTCGAAACTTGGTGCCGTTTTTGCATAACGGCAGCGTGAGGGTCCGAACATCTTCGAGATTACACCGGTTAAAATTTTCGACGGAGAGAGAATCGTCGAACAGGAATACGGTGAGCCGTACGGAATTAGAACGTTCAGCTATATCGTGAGAAGTATAGGCAAAGATGGATGGATGAGAGGAGGGAGAGGAAGATAAGAAGAGAACAGCGTAAAAGCGAGATGATACGATTCTAACCTTGCTGGGTTAACTGGGAGGACGTGGGCGGTCAAGGTATTACGCAGAGTAGCTGAGTTCGTCGACGGGATTTCGCGCGACGTCGCATCCTTACTTACTGCTCTGCGGATCCAGTGAGCTGCCATTGTTGCGTTGATTGATATGCCGTACAGGAAAAATGTGATCCGCACTCGCTCACAATTCACTCTAAAGGGCTTTGTGTGGTTGCAGCGACGGCAGGAGGAGCGCGCGAGAGCGAACACGCACGCACGCAGCCGAAAACGATCGGGGGGAGGGAGAGCGGCCAACCGCGCCTTGCGATTGGTCCCGTACACGCGGTGTCTTCTGCTACAACGACGAGTCAAAGTCCCGGAAGCAGAATGATTTTTATTCTTCTGCGATGTAATTATATATCTAAACTTAAGATGGATTCTTATTTTTTAATAGCAACGAATAGAGATAAGCAGGGAACCTTGCGCTGCTGATACCGGCTTTACTTGAAAAGAGAGTGATGGACAACCTGCTGCCATCTGACGGTGTCTCAGGGAAAAGTTTAAATTCGCAACGACCTGCTTGGCGCCATCTAAGGGTGCGTTTGGGGAACACGCCACCAGAGAGAAGCAAGAGAGCGGCACCAGCTTTCTTTTCTTCAATATATGGCTCGAGTCGAGTTATTCCCAACTCCATCTACCTATCCGGCCACCAGCCTAATTCAATGAACTCAACCTATACAGGGCTGCGTTCTAAAACTCTACTCGACGGGTAGAATAGCATTTAATTAATAAAAGCATTTTATTTAATCAATAAAAGCAAAGATAACTAGGATTTCTTTATCATGATTGGACAATTAAATGTATTCTACCTGTCGAGTAGAGTACATTTAGTCCAATTATGATAAAGAAATCCTAGTTATCTTTGCTCTTATTGGTCAATTAAATGATATCTACCCGTCGAGTAGAGTTTTGGAACGCAGCCCTTCTGAATCAATTCCGATCGGAAACATTCAGTTATTTCCTAGATTTCTATTGTCTTTTCTAGGAGAAACGGAATTAAGGCTGATTTATGATGGTCGTAATCCGTTAACTTATGCCGGGACCATAAAAAATTGACTAATCATAGTCGAATTATAGAAAAATAATCGATTCTGATTGGTCAATTTTTTACGGTTCCAGCATAAGTTAACGGATTATGGTCATCATAAACCAGCCTTTATTCCGATCGGAATTGATTCCATATGAAGAAGTCCACATTGGCTTAGTTTACATCGTGCACTTGATACGCGTACTATATAGTAACTTTCTATTAAATAATCTTAATATTGATAATGCATATCAACGATGACGCATTCAATCGATACAATAAGTCTTCTTGATCAGTATTGTACCAGCTTAATATACCGTTATTTATATACATCGTCGATATTAAGATTATCTAATAGAAAGTTACTATTTAATACGCGTATCAAGTGCACGATATAAACCAAGCCAATGGCTTGGTTTACATCGTGCACTTGATACGCGTACTAAATAGTAACTTTCTATTAGATAATCTTAATATCGACAATGCATATCAACGGCGACGCATTCAGTCAATACAATACGTCTTGTTGATGAGTATTATATTAGCTTAATATATCGTTGTTTATATATATCGTCGATATTAAGATTATCTAATAGAAAGTTACTATTTAGTACGCGTATCAAGTGCACGATGTAAATCAAGCCAATAGATACCCTGTTGTTGAGCGTAGTAGCATCCGGTAAGGACGCTCGCGACTTCCTGTGACGGCCATTTTATAGGACGCTCGATGTCTACGTACATTTAAGGACTAGTTTATGGCGCAGTCGTGTTATCATATTAACAGAGTATCGAAAATGTCTATATAATTTGATTGACCAATCTTGGTCCTGGGTTCCTGGGTCATTAGTAATAATAGGAGAAACAAGGACTAATTTATAAAATCATCTCAAAGTTTAGTGTCAGCCGGTTTCTCGACTATGATAAAGGAAGAGTAAGTATGAGACTCATCGTTCGTGTAGTTACTCGCGCGTCGACGAGAAATTCCAGCGTTAAATGCCTGCACAGATAATGTAATCGAAGTGCTGTCACGCAAGCTGAAGTATTATCTATCCGCGATTGTGCCTCGACTCCCCGGTGTTATTATGAAGACAAAATATCTCTTTTTTTTTTTCCTATGCCTCCTATTCAATACATTCTGCGATATTGTAATCGTGTCCTGTAGTCGCAGTTAATCACGAAACTCCGCCTTGATCTTAACCCTTCTTTCAGTACTTCATTTTTTTTCGCGATATACTCTTTTCTTTGTCTACGCATACATATGCCATGACTTACATCGACTGTGTGCTATGATTGTAGCAATCAGCCGCAAAATAACGATGACAGAGACAGAAGCAGAGAACGCGACCGCAACCGAAGATCGGATAGGCCGAATCGTCTGAATTCCGCTACTCGCGATCGCAGCAGGGAAAGGAATGAACGTGGCAGGAAAGCTTCCGACAGACGGATCTATGTATCCAATATTCCTTATGATTTCCGCTGGCAGGATCTCAAGGATCTGTTCAGGACAGAAGTCGGGAAAGTAGCACATGTGGAGCTCTTCACTGACGAAAATGATAAGCCCAGAGGATGTGGGATAGTGGAGTTTGAAGAGTCAGACTCTGTCAAGATAGCTGTTGAGAAAATGCATCGGTATGACATCAAAGGCAGAAAACTTGTTGTCAAAGAAGTGAGTGTAAAGACCCTCTAATTGTGATCTTTCAATAATGTAACACTAGAGCTACTAACAATCAACTATCTACTTCTATTGGAGCTATCAGAATGACAGATTCTTGAAAAAGTATGCAAGAATAAAAATATTTTCAGTGCATCAGTTTACAGATTTAACTTTTTTAAAACAAGTATGGTTTATGTTTCCTGTTACAAAGTTGTAAATATTCAAATACTTCTGTTAGGAAATCTTGTTATTGGTACTCAAGACTTCTGATGCCACTACTGTGGAATTCTGGATTGATGAAGAGGGAAATCATACGGCAAAAATTCTTGCATGTCATTTTCAAATAAAAAGATACTTGAGTGAAAGAATACTTTAGATTGCTTGAGCATATTTGTAAGATGCTTCAAAAACTATCATCAATCCATCCTGAATTCTGCAACAACAGAACATCTTGACATATCTGCAAACTGATACATCACTTTTCATTCTTTTTAATTTTATTCAATGCCAATTAAGAACATAAAATGTAAAGTTATAAAAATTTAGACATCTTTTTAAGAAATTACAGAATTGGTTATTTTTACTATTTTGGTTGTATGTATGTATATTTCTAGTGTTAAATTAAACTCTCTGAGTTATCTGCGAGTTCATGCAAGCACGAGGACTAGCTGTGCTCAGTAATTCGATTTTTTGAGAAATAATTTCATTCATCACATTATTACATATTTTTCAGGATTTCGACGTTGAACGCGATAAGTATGGACGTTTGACAACAGGTCGTAACAACGATAGAACTCGCGATGACAGATTCAGAGATTCTCCCAGACAGCAAGGAGGTGGACGACAAAACATGTCTACGCCTAGCGGCGGCGGTGTTGGCGGCGGCGGCGGCGGCGGCGGCGGCGGTGGCGGCGGCGGCAGTGGTGGTGTTGGCGGAGGCGGTGGCGGGGGTGGCGGTGGCGGCGGCGATAATAAATTCGGGAATACATATGGTCTTAGCACACAGTTCTTAGAGTCTTTGGGCATCAACGGTCCATTAGTCACTAGAGTCTTTGTCGCTAATGTTAGTATATCAATTCAAAGCGTTGCAAGAGATGTGTGCAACATTGGAATACTTCGTTCGTTTTTTTAGCTGGACTACAAGGTCGACGAAAAGAAATTGCTTGAGGTATTCAAGTTGGCGGGCAAAGTGTTGCATGTCGAATTGGGGAAAGATAAGGACGGCAAATCGAGAGGCTTCGGGGTCGTGGAATATGATCACCCGGTAGAATCGGTCCAAGCGATATCGATGTTACATAATCAACAACTGTTCGATAGACGCATGACTGTGAGACTTGATAGAGCTAACGAGCCGGATATGCCTCCTAAATTACCGGAAGGTAATTGCAGCGCTAACATGTGATTCACACGTGGCTCTGTTCTCATTAATGTATGTCTCTTGAATCGCCAGGCTTGAAGGGCATCGGTATGGGTCTTGGAGCTGGTGGCAACAGATTGTTGGACGTGGCTCGAAACATTCCCAATGTGCAAGCGAACAACCCACCAGTGGTGAATCCAATTTCGGCGCCAGTTCTGGCGGCTGGTGCTTTCGGAGCCAGCTTGAATAACGTCGTGCCAGCACAGCTGGGTGAGTATTGCTGGCCGTGCACTCCATAGGCGATCGCAAATTTTCTTCAAATCAACGGGAGTCGCATTTGTTTGCAGCGTCAGCACTCTCAAATACTAACGCAGCGGCTTTACAAGCCAGTCTAGCTGGTGGCCTGGGAGCCAATCTCACTACTAGTTCGTTGCTCAACTCTTCGTTGACCAATGAATTGGCATCGAATCTGAACAACTTCGGCGGTGGCGTGGGTGGATTGAGCGGACTTCAAGCATCTTTAGCTGGCGGACAAGGCAATAACTCATTTGCGCCACGTGGTTTGTCTAAATTAGACAGTGACATAGGCTTCGGCGGCAACAACGCCTTTGGGAGCTCCAATTTCGGAGGCGGCAGAGACTTTGACGGCGGATTCAACAGAGGTGACGGTGATCGTGTCTCCGCTGGCGGTGGATTCTCTGGAAACCAGAGCCAAACCGGGGGCGGCAATCGACAGAACTCCAACGGTTCACGCTCGATGTCGGACACCATTCTCATCTGTAATGTACGCGTCGCACTTTCGTTCGAGTCATAACTTTTTTTGTGCTCTTTGTGCGATACGAGGTTTTGATTGTCTCTTTGTTTCTCCGGCTGTAGTTACCTCCAAACACGACATGGCAGATGTTGCGCGACAAGTTCCAGGACGCGGGAGAAGTAAAGTTTGCGGAAATGAGAGGCACTGATATGGGCATGGTACGGTTTGCATCCGATTGGGATGCTGAGCGTGCAGTGAGTATCCTTTTCTATGCAATGCAGGTGTTACGGTAACGACGATGAGATACGACTCTCACGATATGTTTCATATAGTTTGAAAAGATATTTCTCATGGCTGAGTTAGTTCAGCTTTTCGTTTCTATATGTTTCTAATCAATACTCGCGTACGCATAAAAGTATAAGTGGAGTATAAAATGGAAATGGAAAGAGCACTTATCCTAATTGTACGTAAAGATCACGTAAAGAAGACGAAATATGCTTCCATTACACAAGGGAATTATCCTTAATGATCGTGATTAGCTATGATGAACCGGACACGCATCGACGGCCGAACGATCGATGTACGCCTGTACTAAAAGAGGAGTCGTGGATCAGTGGACAATACAAGGTAATGTTAATAGACAAGATCTACTTGCGAGTAGTCACGCTTAATCATAACTTATTGACGCAGCGTGAGAAAACTGGGGGTATTTGTGTTGTCGTCTGCAGGATTGTTCCGCTCCCGATGACAATACTTGAAATTCATCCTAGTTATGACGTGGCAGAACTTTAGAGAACAGTGAGTGAGGGAGAGAGAGGGGGAGAAGTATCTATTCTTCGGAAGATCAGCAAGTCTTGTTCAATTATGGCTACTCCACGTCGAAATGGTCGTGTCCACTGCTGACGATCGCCCTCTCCGCACCCCATCCACCCACCTGCCACCACTACAAGCACCTTCCACTTCCAAGTTCCATTCTGTTCCTGAAGTCTTTTTATCTGTCTTTTTCTTGTTGCGATTTTTCAATGCGATATCGTTTACACCACGCCGCCTTATGGTTCCTTTTTGCAGTGGAAGTCTTTACTAATTGTTCGCCTCTTAAATCGATCTTTTTTTCTAGTGATATCGAGACATAGTTTAGTTGTTTAGGTATAGGTTCACAATGATCGTTACTGTGTAAGCTAGTAGGTCCCTTTTTTCAGTGTATAGGTTACTTTATTGTTTTACAGTAATTAGCAAATGTAATCCGTAAGTTTATATCTTAGTCGTCATGACGAGAGATCGATTGGCTGTCCATCGTTCGCTTTTAAAAAGTGACGCTCTGGTTGTTCCACCAAACAGGGATAGAGATTAATCTATCGATCGTTCACGGGAACGCACTTCTACCACGTCGTGAAGAAGACACAAGAAAATAAGAGAAAATCATTGTCCGCTCGAACTGCTGATTAACGCTCGTGTGTGTCTGTCTTTTTTTGACTCTTATCGAAATTACCAATAGGCGCGCTCGTTACAAATCTCGCTCTATGCAGATCGTGCTAGAGAGCCTAGCTATTCTCATCGAATTCTCGTCGAATCGCTCGTATTTTCCAAAGTAACGTGAGGTTTTTTGACATCGTGACGCTTTTTCAACAACAGGGAACCAACAACATGCTCCGTCGCGATAGGATCTATTATTATTGTTTTTATTACTTTTTGTTCTTTAATTTTTTGCAGTATACTACGCACTGTTCCTTCTATTGCATTATTGTTATAAGACAGAGCTCGGGAAGTGTATCTCTTGTCGAGCTCTGTTTTAAAAGAATTGAACTGTTCTTAGACACGACGATACACGGAAATTTGTTATAGTCGCCGCTTCAGGACGATCCTCTCTCGATTCGGTGTGTTTCGTGACTCGGGCGTGCCAACGTCGAATCAAATTTACATCTCTGAATAGGAAATTCGGTTAAACTGGCTTTTTTGCGTTCTCCGCGCCGTTTTAATATGTTTACCAAAAAGTAAAATCGTGCTCTCTGCGTCGAACGTAGATTTTGGTTTTGTCTTTTTTTTTTATTATTTTTTTTATTAACTTTTGTTCGATATCGTCCCTGTGCCGCACCCCTCTATGGGATATCCTTTCATTCCTCATGGAGGGATAAAGTCGCACCACCGCTTTCGGTGGACACAATGGACGTTATTGTCGTCGCAATCAGCTCGGTGTTTCCTGGATGTTATTTTTTGGTAAACATAACAGCTCCCCTCTCGCCATGTAGACGATTTCGAGGAACATGTTGCGCATTGTACAACACACTCTTGTATAACCACAATCTCATGACAGTGATTGAATAAAATTCAGATTCGTTTTGTGATTACATCAAGAAAAAAAGAAGAAAAAAAAGAAACATGCTGGTCGTTGTGTTTTATTTCTGTGCTGCTGTGAATTTTTATTGCTTTTTTTCTCTCTCCGCAAGCGGTCTCTCACTGCGTAGATTTGGACGATGGACGCGCGTATGCGTGCGCGATTTTCAGCGCTCGAACAAGACACGCATTTGCGCGACTCAACTTGTGATAATGGGTATGTGTCTCTCCCATAAGTGCGTCACGTTGACAACGCGACAGTCCGTTCGCTTTTGTTGGCGTGTCTTTAAATACAGATATCCGCCTCGATTATCTCTTCTGCACACACCGGAGCGTCGGTAGAATCTCTGGAGTAATCGATGCAGTGGAAAAGAGAGAGAGAGAGAGAGAGAACTTGTTGCCATCGCAGGTGAGATATCTTTTCAGATGACTTTCTTCCCCCGATTTGTTCCTTTGTTCCGAAGGGAGAGAGAAGGAGCGTGACTATTGACGATAACTCCGGCCCCTCCGTGATTAGCAGCACGATTATCCTTTCATTAATTAGCTAAAATTGAGGGAAACAATGCTCCAACTCTGTCTGTGTCCTATGTGGATGATCGTCAAGGTATCGTAGTGTGTTCCTCGTCACCGGTGGCTTTTAAACGCGACGCTCTTTTACCGCGGATGACAAAGCGATGAGGCGAATCCACGGTTTTTTTTTTTTTATATGTTTCTTTTCATTTTTTGTAATGTGGACTGTGCAAATAAGGGGTGATTAACATCGGGTTCCTGGTTCTCGTAGTCTTTAACGTGGTGTTCGTGGTCGATCCTGTGTCTTGTGTATAGAGATTGAGAATCGTGAAAACGACGGCGAAATCTTCCACGCGCGTCGCGACGGCACTCGCGTGTCCGCTTCCAAAGTGTCTTTGTGGCCGATACAGCTCTGTGTACGATCTCTTTGTCGGTTTCTGTATCGCGAGAGGAGACTTGGCGGCTCCTATTCCGGGTCGAAGCGCGTTCTGTGTAAGTGAGCTCGTGTATTTTCGGACCTCGAATTTTCGATTTCCACGCTCCCTCTCTGAGACCGGTGCTTTTCTCGACGTTTTATCGAGTCGAACTCTGGTTTCACAAGTCTGCGTCTGTGCACTAAAAAAAAAAAGAAAACGAAGAAAAGTGTTAGAGGATACGTTTTGTACTCTCCCCCACCTATTTTTTGTTCAGTTAGTCGACGAGTCAGGTTTCCAGCGTACGATGCGAGACTCGCTCTCGTCGAGAATCGGTGTTTGTGTTGTTTCCGTAGTTTAACGGTTCGTCGATTCCAGGGGCCGGGAGGTGTGCTCTTCGCTTCGTTGTGTATCTGTGCGAATTGCAGTAACAATCGCTCGATATCTCCGATTTTTACGGGAACAAGAAGTATCCGTATTTTTCCCCCTTTTGTGAGATGTACTGAAAGAGAGACGATAACGTGCACAGCTATTGCGTCGTATAGAGAATAAGAATTTTACGTTTTTATTACATGGGGCACACATACGAAGAGAGTCACATGGTGGATATGTTAATTATTTCCAGAGATCGAGAACCAACGTGCGTCACCCGACTGCAACGAGGTAAGTTTCGACAATTGGTGAACAGTCACCTCACGCAAATGTTATTCTTGCAGGGTAATGATCGCGCAAGCGACACGTCGAGTTTGATATACGAGAGATAGAAAGAATTAGAAAGACAGAGAGACGGTGTCGCGCTTAGTAAAAAAGAACGAGCTTGCAGTCGTACTTTTCAATCACACCTATATTGCCGAGTTTATTTCCGAGTTATTTCCAGGAGAACACTTCTTTCTACCTTTACATTATAAAATAGTTTTCTATATGCGAGTTAAAGTGTAAAGGCGCTATCTTCGTAGAGAGAGAGAGAGAGAGAGAGAGAGAGAGAGAAAAGCAGAGAGAGATAGAGCTGAGATATGACGTGTGTATATTACACATAGCGACGGTTGTGCGTTAAAAACGGCACATTGTGACGCGCGTAAAGGTACGTCGGTAGCAAACGCCATTATATATCGATTCGGGAAATGAAATACGTATAAAACCGCGTGGACACAAGAACGCTGCTTCGTTATGAAGTAACAACATGGACGGGGCCGCATTTATCGCACGCAAAAAGTGTGCAACGCATCGCTCATCAACGGCTCTCTCTGGGATAAGAGAGAAAAGACCAACGTCACATACTCCTTCTCATGTATGGTATATACTTGTGTAATCGTGTAGTTGTAATCATGTAATGAGATATTAAGTCTATGTTATATTTTATAATAGATTTTTTTTATCACATTCGAAATAAAGACAGTCACACAGACGCAAAATAAGAGGTGTCTCTCCTGCGAATGAAACGTTAATTCCGGGCGCTCACGTTCGCGGTATCACATCGCGATGGAAAATTACACGGGAATATCGGTGCGACGGATCAGCAAAATAGCCCCCTCTGCCCGACTTAGTATAACAGTAGTAAACCTTGCATGACGTTTATTCGGGGCGTGGAATATACAAGGTGAAAAAGAGAATGACGCGACTTCGTCGCGTATGTTTGCGTGGTGTACGCTTATCTTCCTTGTTCCTTCCGTCTTCCTTCCTCTTGTTATTTCTTTCTTTCGTTACTTATACGCAAGAACGCGCGAGTGAGCATAAGATTCCATTCATGTCGCTTTCATTCCGTCGACATGTCGGTGTCAGAAAGTCCCTTCTATCACAAACTCACGTTCCTCTCATTTTTTTTTATTTATTCGTTTATACAGCAAGGTAAAAAGTCACTTCTCTAAGATTACACACTGTTGTAATTTAACGTACATTTATATGTATAATATACAGGGTGTCCCGCCACTACCGTATTATCTCTTAAAGGCGGATTGACAGCTTATTGATTCTCATAAATGTATCGTGTGATATTTTATTTATAACATTTTAACGAAATTATTTGCGATATTTATTTAAATGATAGAAAAGGCAGATTATTATTATGGAACTTCTGTATCAATATTTGGAGAAGGGGCGACATGTGCATGCATCTATATTATTGGGTGCGTTCAGCGAACTCAACAGTTGCACAACAGTTGAACAATTCGTCAATGTAATTGGCCTAGATTTAGGAATTTAACAGTAAGAACCAATAATCGCTGATTGCTCACTGAGCGCTTTTTCCGCTGAACGCATCCATTGTGTTTTGTATCGTACTTGAGCGCGCGTACTTTAGCCAATTGGTCAACTTTAATCGTTTATAATTTTAAAAGTATTACAGCCTCGACATTTTTGTATTAGAATTTTTTCTTCAAATTACTTCAGGAATCCGCCCTTAAGATATAATGCGGTAATGGCGAGACACCCTGTATATATGTAATATGTTATTATCGCTAAGCACGTGTATGTGTTTTGTTCAACGTAGTATGTATATGTAATATGGCTCGCGCGCGCGGGGTTTATGTATACAGGAGAGGCCTTTAAGTAGCCGAGTTCGTAATAATAGAATCACAATGTTCATCATCTCCGTCGCCGTTATCGCGTTTTTCATGCCAAAATAACACTCCCTCTCTCGATGTATGTTTTCTTCCACTCAAAGTCCTTCTCGCGTGTAATTGTCACGCACTGATATCAGAAAGAATGAAAAAGAGATCTCCGACAAGGATTCTGTATCGCCGAGGGCTAATTCGATTCACTTATTTTGATCGTGTTAGCGGAAACAATAACATGGTCGTTATTAAAGAAAGACGCGATTAATCGTTCTCATCAGAGTCGAAGAAACCGTCGCGGGCAGCCAACTGTTTGAGCGCGATCGTAGGACTTGACATTGACTGCGTGCGCTTCGTACGCCTTCGTGTCGACAGCATTATTCTTTCTATACAGAATGACATTATCAATACGAAAATGTCCACTGAATGCAATTAAATATTTCTTTTTCAAACGCGCGATTAGTATCGAATCTATCGCTCCGCGAGGAGGTATTTCTCGTTGTGTAATTTCCGGGCACACAACTCGAACGGCAATTAATGTTGATTTGCGCACGACAACTCGACGCAGTGTCGTGCTCCTTGACTTCTTACCAACTAATACGCGATTAAACAAGGACTCGTTACGAATATAAATTAACGATAGAAAGTACAAGATGAGACATGTCAACTTGAACGACGCAAAAATCGAAGTGTCCCTTCGCGACGATCTCGCGTTTAAGACTCCTGGCTACTTTGCAAGAATTTTCAGTGTGTACATCCCACGTAAAGGCTGTGTTACCAACATTGTCAACAGGTCTGTGGCGAGTAGCGAAGAGCCTTAAGACAAAACAATGGGCATCTCGTCTTTAGAGAAAAGTCATCGATCGAGAGAGAAAGAGGGAGAGATCTCTCCGGTATCGCGCCTGTTCATATACAGTAAATCGTTATGAAAATTGTACTTCGCAAGAGAAAGACCTCTTGACTGTTCGGAGCCGAGAGTTTCGCGATTAAACGGATGAACGAACGAATCGGAGGATTCGGGCCAACCGTGATTATCACCGTTGCTTGCCGTGTTGTTGCTGTTGGTGCCGAGGCTGCTGTGACACTCCATCTTCTTCTCATGATCAGTCGACGGTTCACCAGCCCGGTCTCATCGCGTCTCGATGTTGCTAGTGCATCTCGACGAAAGTGCGAAGGTGTGCTGGCACCTTGATAACCCTTTGCGTCTTCTTGATGACCCGCGCGGCCAAGCAGGTGAGCGTGGTGTACTTAACGGGGTAAATCGAGTCATATCTGCGCTTGTCGCATAACAACATCTGGAAGGTATTGCCATCCTTGTTGACCGCGTCTAAGTGCGCGCCAGCGTCGAGTAGAGCGATCGCGAGGTCTGGTCGCCATGGGCGCGACAACGCGGCCAAATGCAACGCCGTGTTGCCGTCGTTGTCGCGGGCGGTCACGTCGGCGCCCACTCTCAGCAGTGCTTTGGTCAAGTGAGGAGACGGGAACTTGCAAGTGGGATACCTGCTGACTAGGGTGCCGTCCTCGCTGTGAATCAGCTGCAGCGCGTCGCGACCCTATGTAAATACGAAAATTAGACGATATTAGACGCGCGGAAAGATTGCGTATACCGGTACGCGCTATTTTTCTTTTTTATTGGCACATGGAGGAGGTGTCCGACACTTGTGACTATAATTACGCGGTGGAGCAATTACAGCTGAGGAAAACCACTTTTACATAGCAAATGTTACTGCAGTATTGGTGATAATAGCACAGCTGTTGCTACATTCTTGTTGGAAAGATGCGGTTAAGGCCACAAATGGCTATCATTTTTTACTGACTACAATGAACGATTACAGTTGTTGCGTTATAATTAAAATAAAAATTGTAACTATAATGTTTTTTTCTTTCGGTATATCGCACATGAGATTAAACGTTTTTCGCGACGTTTATTTTAACTATTTTGAATAACGAAACATGAACGCTGAATAATGAGAGATACACTTAAATATAAATAGAAAATATAAATAGAAAAAGCGCGGCCTCGATCACGATTCAAACAGGAACAATATTTTCCTGGCATTTTAGAAGAACGCTAGACATTGAAGCGAATGTATTGAAGTAGCGGTAGTCGTCACGAGCACTGACCTGCTTGCCTTTGGCCTTTATTCGGACTAACTCGTAGATCTGCTTGTGCAAAGCGACGTACTCGTCGCTACCTTCCTCCGCTGTCTCGCGCGTCAACAAGCATGCCAAGTGGAGGGTAATGACGAGGACCCTGTTCAAGTACGTCAGGTCACGCTCGCAGACCGGCATCTTGTCCAACATCTGCTTGCCTCTTTTCACCTCCATCACCTGCGAACAGTTTCCCCGTGTAATAATAAACAAACGGTCGTGAACGAGCGAGCAAAACGGATATATATATATATATATATATATATATATATATATATATATATATATATATATATATATAT